TGCATGTGCGGGGACCCCTCGAACTCCAAAGAGGGCTTCACTTCTCCCTACTCCCCTTGCGTGTCTAATACAAAAGATAAAACGTCTTCCCTTTCCACGTAAAGGACATATACGTACGAACACGCTAGTGATCAGTCCCTCGAGGGAGATGACTCTCCTCCAGCGACCCTGCGGCGGAACGCAGAAGGAGGTCAACAGAGAACAGCTCGTGGCCGTGAGGACGCAAGTTAGCTCGCTGACGGATCAGAGGAGCCAGCTATAATGTCGCTAGTGGAAGATACCATGAAGGCAAGCAAGAAGGAGGAGCCAGCTGGCACCATGGAGGGCGCCGCTGACCGCGGCGATGCTAGGAAGAGCGCCGCCGCGGAGTCCACGAACGCCGAAGGAGGGGCACCGTGGACCGGGAGTGCGCAGGACGGGAGGTACCTGCGCGAACCTGTTTGAGAGTCTGGCTCGTCAGGGCGACACAGCGGCGAAGCAGGGGGCTTTGTCCCCCAAGAGGTGAGAGTAGCCGCTGCTCAGAACCAAGATTATAGTAGTGCCATGGGAGATGGTGGTGCTGCTGTTGGCTTTGGATACGGAGCCACAACCCCAGCGACGGGGTACCAAAGTGTGCGGTACACTTTTCCTCCGTTCAGCGGGAAATCGAAATATTTCAACCAATGGCTAAATGATTTCCGCATGGCAGCTAATGGCGCAAACCTGTTGGAACAATTTGAAGAGAGCGGGAGCTTGGAGATCCCCGTCAACAGCGGAAAGAACAAGTTTTTGCTGTCACAGCAGTACCGAAGCGAGCAAGTAGAGCTCACATTCCACGCGTGGAAGTTCCTGTCTCACGCGTTGAACGAAAAAGATCGGAAAATCATGAAGTGGGCAGAGACGCCCCAGGGAGGTCTTCGTGAGCTCAAGACCATACACGACCCTGAATCATCTGTACAGCCGTCAGAGGACCTCAAGTCCCTGACGTCGAACAAGATATCTAGAGGTGAAACCCCCCAAAACGCCCTCAATGAGATGCTCCAAAGCGCAAAGTCCTTAAACGAGAAAGGGCTAACTGTTAACGAAACGTTCGTCTTTCACCTCTTCCTGGATGCCCTTTGGGACGAGTATGCCATGACAAATCACAACCTGCGACACGCGAAGGAGTTGACGCGGGCCGGTGTGCTAAAGGAATTAATGATCGAATACAAGGCGATCAAGGACAAGCTGGAGCAGGGGAAAGGAAAAGGGGCGAAGGGCGCAGAGCAAGCGTACTTCGCCGACGGTGNCGAAGGGCTCAGAGCAAGCGTACTTCGCCGACGGTGAGGGCCGCAAGGAGCGGTACTCAAGTAGGAGTCAGGGGCAAGGTCGTGGTCGTGGCGGCGGCCGTGGCCGCAGCAGCAGTCGTGGCGGCGGTCGCGGCGGCCGCTCAGGCGGATCCGGACGGGTCGAGGAGAGCAAGGGAAGCAGCAGTGGAGGCGCCGATGGCGGCGGTGGCGGGGACTATACGTTCCCGGGCCGGTGCTTAAGGTGTGGATATCGTGGACATAAGCGATCGGCTGCACTACCAATGAGAAGGACATCGTGCCGTGGTGTGCGCGCTGCGAGGGGTGGGGCCACACCAAAGAAAAGTGCGCGACGGAGGAGGCCGTCCTAGCGCAAGTGGTGGAGCATGAGAGCGACGTGGACTCCGTGGAAGACCAGGCGTTTTGTGCCGTGGCAGTCCCCCCAGGCGAGTGTGGTACCGTTGGTGAAGTAGGTCTAGTGAGGGTTGTGGAACAAGGCCAGGCGGTGTACGTGGCCGACACAGCGGCGACGTGCTCCATGTTCCGATGTGCAGACAACTTCGTGAACTACCGTGAGCGTAGCGGTTGGGTGAAGGGGATCGGAGGCGACAAGGCCCCCGTTCCTCGTCTAGGATACGGACATGTGACCTTAGTCCTACAGACGGAAGATGGTGGAGTACCCGCACCAGTACTGAATACTGCCCATGTACCAGAGGACCCCTACAACCTCCTCTCGCTGTCTTCGTTGGCGGAGGAGGGCCACACGTATTCGGGGATGAAGGGGGGCCTCACGCTGACCACGAAAGCCTGGGGGGAGGTGTGGTTCCCCCGGACTGGAAAGCTGCTGACCCAACGAGGCTATCAAATAAAGCCAACGCTACACACCGCCTGTGCCGCACTCATTGTTCCTGGCGATGCGAAAGCAGCCACCCCCACTGACCTCAGCGAGTACCACCTCGCGCACGGCCATGCCCACGAGACGTTGCTCTGGATCACGGCGGAGCAGCAGGGAGTGCAGCTGCCGGATGGACCGCTGCTACCCTGTCTTGGCTGTTGGATGTCCAAGGGACAGGTGACGCCCGTCCAGAAGAGCACGAGCACACGTGCACTGCTACCTCTCGCAGATGACGAGCAGGGAGGGGAGGGTGAGATCAGAGCGGATGCATCACGCCAAGGTTGGGGGGGGCAGAGAGGCTCAGAGAGTGAGTCCGACCTCGACGTGATGGAGGCTCGTGGGCCAGGGCAAGCGACGCCGTTTGTGCGCGAGGAGGCGCCGACGGCACCCGGCAACGGGATTCCGGGGGACGGAGGCAGCGTTCCCCCGTCACCCCCTTCGGGAAGGGGCGACTTCGGTGGAGGCAGTGACAGCCCCACCGACAGCAGCAGCAGCAGCAGCAGCCCGAGCAGCAGCAGCAGTGACGCCGGCGGTGCCGGCGGCTCGGGCGGCGAAGAGTCCGGCGACCCATGTGGGGACGGCGGTAGCGATGGTGATCCCGGCGACTCCGAGAACCTCCAGGAGTTGAAGTATGATCCAGCCGACGACCGCTACCCCCGTGGGCTAGAAGGGGAGAAACTCCTCTGGGGCGCCTCGAACGCTGGCCCGCTGCACCATGGTCTTGAAAGTGGCCGCACGTGGAAGCAGACCCGGGAGATGCAAGGTGCCGGGGAGATGCCGGGGCCCGGAGAAACACCGGACCCGGAAGAGGCATTGCTGGCGANTCCTCTGGGGCGCCTCGAACGCTGGCCCGCTGCGCCATGGGCTTGAGAGTGGCCGCACGCGGAAGCAGACCCGGGAGATGCAAGGTGCCGGGGAGATGCCGGGGCCCGGAGAAACACCGGACCCGGAAGAGGCATTGCTGGCGACCATCCTGGAAACTGGCGGGACGGGGATTGTTGAGGACTAATTCTGCAACTCGCTTGTGAAGGAGCAGTGGGACGAGGAGCAAACACGCCGTATGGAGGAGATGTACAGGCGCAAGGTGCAGGAGGTGTTGGACCCGGAACAGCAGGCGTTCGGGGCCGAGGTCGACGCCAGCGGGTCTTCGCAACCACTTCCAGACCCACAGCTAAGTATGACCTCGCCAATCGGGCAGAAGCCGAGTGATGTGGAAGCAGTACCGATGACGTACAAGGATGTGATGTGTTCCAAGTACGAGGTTTCCTGGGAGGCGGCCGTGAAGAAAGAGATAGATGGCCACGACAAGACTGGAACCTTTACCAAGGTCAAGGAGCTGCCCGAGGGGCGGAAGGCCATAGGTTCAACGTGGGTGTTCTCTTGGAAGACGAATGAGAAAGGCCTGATAGTCGACTTCTAGGCCCATATGGTTGCGCGGGGTTTCTCTCAAATCCCCGGCATCGACTTCCACCACTCATCCTCAGCGTGCCCGTCTGCAGCGTCTATCAAGACGGTGATTGCCATAGCCACTGAAAAGCGCGAGAAACTCGCTCACTGGGATGTGAAGCAAGCGTATATCCACGCTAAGCTAAAAGAAGAAATATACCTCAGGTTCCCGGCCGGAAGGCTGTGGTAGCATGTCCGGCAAGGTGGTCAAGGTTGAGCGTGCCCTGTATGGCCTAAAGCAGAGTGGCCGTGAGTGGGGGTTTGGAGCTGCCGATGCCCTCATCGAGAATGGATACGAGCAGTGCAGGATTGACCCGTGTGTCTTCCGGAAGGTGGTGGATGGAGAGGTCGTAGGTCTCATCGTGATCTACGTTGATGACATCTTAGTGGAGGCAGACGAGGGAGAGCGAGAGGAGTTGTTCGCTTCCCTCAACATGAAGTTTCCGGTGAAAGATCTGGGGGAGTGTACCTGGTACGACGGATGGGATATCGCCATGGATGTAGAAAATCGCATCACCAAGCTGTCCCAGACAGCATACATTGAGAGTATGCTGAAGCG